AAGTACAAAAGGCTTTAACAGCTGTTACATGAAGTAAAATGCTAAAGTGCAGAAATAGTTAACGACTTGCTCCGGAATGTCCAGTGTCGTTTCGATGTTTCTTCTTCTGAAAAAAGTTTTGTATACAACTTTTTCCAGTTCTTGTCTACAGTAATTGATACAGAATCTGATGATTACATATTTCTTAATCCAAATCACAGCACAATTGTCTAGCCCCAGTTAGAGATTTAAAAGCGGAATACCTTGCAAGTGAAATGGATGTGGTTTATAGAACCTATTCCATTTATATCAAGAAAAATAATCTGCCTGGGGAGATAATGGTTAGATTCTCGAAGAGACATGTGAGGGATCAAATCCTGAAAGCAACTACAGGTATGCCCTTAAAAATTGGAGGCAATATTATCAGGATTTTAAAAGATATTCCATTTGAAATAAGAAAGAAGAGGAAGAAGTATAGACTTGATTTCATTTTGACAAACGAACAGTATTCCTTACAGATGGTTGACCCCCGAAGGTGTCATTTTCAAACTGCAGGATAAAAAAGAAAAGATTGACTCTGTTTCTAAAGCACGAGAGTTCCTGAGACTGCAACTGGGAGACTCCGGTGTGGACAGCAAGGAAGAAGAAGAAGACAGCAAGCCTAGTGATGAAATGGATTCTGCTACTTCCAATGAGGACTCTGTCTTCAAAAAGGTGGCGGCAGTCCCTAAATGAGAATACCAATTAAGGATTAGAAAAGACAAAACAAAATGAAGGCTGAAGAACTCTGAATGTTGCCTTAAAGCTTTTTTATTGTTAATGATGCTTTTAACTTTAACAGTTAAAATGGTTTTAAAGAAATAATATAGCTTGATTGACTATGTTCAATGTAATCATAGCACTTTAGACTAACACTGATACAAGCTGTTGTAATGATCTGCTATACTTGGGTTTTTAGTTTGCTTTCCTTTCCTTTCTCCCATAGATGTAGTTTTCCCCTCCCTTTTTTCTGTTGTAGTTTATAGAAAAATGCAATAAAAAAAATCCCCTCTGGGGGCTTAAAAAACAAATCACAGCGCAATTGCGAGGAAAATTCTAGTTGGGCAGAATACAATCATCAGATTCTGTATCAATTACTGTAGACAAGAACTGGAAAAAGTTGTATACAAAACTTTTTTCAGAAGAAGAAACATCGAAACGACACTGGACATTCCGGAGCAAGTCGTTAACTATTTCTGCACTTTAGCATTTTACTCCATGTAACAGCTATTACAGCCTTTTGTATTATAAAGTAACGTGCTTGTCACTTCATAATGGTTTCTATTTAAAATATGTCAGTATGCACTCCACTTTGATTGTATTATAATGTGTCTTTGATTCTAGCACAACTATCACAGCTGTCCTTCAGTATCTTCTATACTGTGTAATTTTTCTGGCTGTTTTAATCGAGAAGTATCTGTGGCAGATCCATTCCTGAATCTTCCAACCTCATGTCTAATTTGTCCCTTTGTTTCCCCGCTCCCTATGATTGGTTTCCTTTGCGACTTGGCTGGATCTGGTTTTGAGGTGGTGCCAGATGTCTTAGCCCCCAGACATCCGTCTTCCCATGCCCTCCCTAGGGTGCAGCTCTCCTTCCTGATCTGGTGGAAGATCAGGGCAAGCCTGTCGCAAATCACTTGTCAGTCAGGAAAAAATGGTCTTACAGGGATATTATTAAGAGAAACTAATGAGTGAGCAAGGCAATGTCTCAGCTACAAGGAAGGATATATATTTCTTCCTTCTTCAGTATATTTCTTAGATGTCAGCTCTGAACTAGGTATGACCTCAGTAAGTCACATCACTTCTATTCACCTCTGGATATTTGTCAGCTTTTCCTCCTTTCTGATTTGTGTGTGGAGTGGATATTCTTTGTGTATGTGTGAATTCAATAACCACATAAGGAAGCCTCCTCTCTCCTTTCTCCAACAGTTGCTCTGGATTCCATCAATGATTGTGTTAATGATCAGAGTTCATTTACCCACAGATACAATAGCAGCACGTAACCCTGGGGTCTATAACAAGCCCTTGCAAGAACAGAAGCTCGAGGCAGAGCCAGCGTGTAGACTTATAGTAACTTTAAGAAGGCAGAACATTGAGCGGCAATAAAATAATGTGGAACTGCAGTAGTCTAAGCCCATTTAAATCAACTGGAGTAACTTTGTATAGCTCTGACATGGATGGCCCAGGCTAGCTCGATCTTGTCAGATCTTGGAAGGCTAAGCAGGGTCAGCCCTGATTCGTGCTTGGATGGGAGACCGCCAAGGAAGTCGAGGGTTGCTATGCAGAGGCAGGCAATGGCAAACCACCTCCGAACATCTCTTGCTTTGAAAATCCTACGAGGTTGCCATAAGTCAGCTGCGACTTGATGGTACTTTCCACCAGCTCTGTATAAGATTTCACTGTGTAGCCCTGACCTGGATAGCCCAAGCAAGCCCAATCTCATCAGATCTCAGAAGCTAGGCAGGGTTGACTGTGGTTAGTAACTGAATGGGAGACCTCCTTGGAATACCAGAGCCAGGAGGCGGGGGCAGGCTTTATGCAGCCATTTCTTCGATTATCCTCCAGGCCCCCCAGTAGGGGTCAGTCACCAGAGGTCAACGTGACTTCCAGGCAAAGACACACACATACAGAAAAGATCTGATCACATTAAGGTAATTAAGTTTTCTAAAGGAGCTATGATGGTTTTTTTTTGCTAATACCCCCCTCCCTCTGTAGGTTCCACTGTGTTATGCCTCAGGGGACTGGTTAGGCTGAAATAGGAGGGAGGGATTTAAAAAAAACCTTAAGGGAACTTATTCTTTTTAAATACATGGTTGGATCCAGGCAACTATCAGCAGAAAGGAATAAAAGCAGATATCACAAAGAATTCAAGGTTACTATCCATAAAGGGGGGGGGAATCTACCCATCTACCAAAATATGACAACCTTGGTCCTAATTCATGTGGCTTGCCTTTGTGTTGGGCCCAGAAACAGTTAATATGGCTCTATGGAACCTGGTGAGATGTGATCCTGGTCGTTAGTCTGCCTATGATCCCGTGTATCAACTGCATTTCTCTTGCTGTCTCACCCTCTTGGGAGCATGTGATCCTTCTCTGCCCAAGCTGGGGGCTTTTTAGTTGTGATTTATAGGGTTGCCTTCTTCTGGAAATTGGGGAGCAGTAGGTGGGGAGGATGGACCACCTGGACATTGACAACCCAACTTCCCTATCACGTGACAAGGATAAGTGCAGAGTTCTACATCTGGGTAACAAAAAAGAGAAACAGGCATACTGGATAGGGAATATACTTCTGGGGTACAGGTGGGTAAATATGAGCAGTCAGTGTGATGCAGTGGCAAAAAAAGCTAATGTGGTCTTGGGGTGTATCAAGTGAGGCATAATATCCAAATCACAAGATGTGATAGTCCCGCTATACACTTCATTGGTCACGCCACACCTGGAGTACCATGTTCAGTTCTGGAGGCCTCTTCACTTCAAAAGGGACGTGGACAGAATGGAGTGGGCGCAGAAGGGAGCGATGAGGATGATCAGGGGCCTGGAGACCAAGCCCTATGAGGAAAGGCTGAGGGACTTGGGAATGTTCAGACTGGAGAAGTGGAGGCTGTGGGGTGACATGATTGCTCTCCATAAGTATTTGAAGGGCTGTCATTTAGAGAAAGGCAGGGAGCTGTTCCTGTTGGGACCTGAGGAGAAGACTTGTGATAATGGGTTTAAATTACGGGCAGAAAGAGATTGGCAGGATATTAGGAAAACTTCTTTACAGTAAGTGTAGTTTAGCAGTGGAATCAGAGCCATTTAAAACCCTGCTTTCTGCTTTTCATGAACTGCCACAAATTGCCTTAAAATTTGTGGAAGCTCGTGGTGGCGCTTTAGTTTTTAAAATTCTGTTAAAAATAATTTATTGTAAAAAAATTAACATACCATGGAGAAATACAAGGACCATGAAAAGTAGAAGTTGAGTTGAGACTATACACTGAAATAACCTTAACATTATCAATAGAAGGGACAGAAATTTTAAATATTGGATGCAGTGAGAATCACCTAAAATGAGATATCCAGTTATAAACACATTTCATTCTCCAGGGAAGGCATACCAGCTTCACAGGAAAAAAAACAGTTAAAAAGAGAACCAAAATCTATAATCTTTTTTCCATGCTAGGATGCCTCTGACTTCTAAATAATCAAAGACAGGATTCCAGGTGTCTTCATAGCTACTTCATTGCATGCTATGTTGCGAAGTGGCAGCTCTTTTGTTCATAAACATTGCTTCATGTAACACAGTCTGACCAAAATTTGTAACAAACTTTAGTTCATGTGCTGGTTTGTGCCCATCCTTAATTAAGACTTGAAGAGGTTTAAACTACGTTTCATTTAAGGGGCCCCATAACATTACCCCCTCAAATGGTGACTTAGTAATTTTAGTTTTTTACAAATTGTACCTAGATTGCCCCTCAAAATATAAGGCCCTAAAAGGTGGTTTACATAGATTGTGCAGCTCTGCTGCTGCTTAGAAAAAAAGGGGTTTTATCCTGCCCTGTCCAGTAGCAGCTAATCTAATCTCTCTCTCTCTGCATGTTGACTGGTACATCATTCTGGTATGTAGCCAGTATCGAGAGTTTGTGAGATATTTGATTTGTTATTCTGTACACATTAGTTTTATATTTGGAATTGAATGGTTCACACTTGATCTCAAAGGATGAAAAAGAACCAAATAAACAGTTTCTCCTTGGCTGTAAAAGTATTCCACTCCTTTTGCTGAAAAGGAATACCTTGCTGCTTTTGTCATGAATCCTACTGAGGAAGATTAATCATGCATGCTCTTCTGAATACTCATGTTCAGCCCTACCCATTAATGGACTTATCAAAATGACATGAATTATGTGAGCCACACCTTCTTCCCCCGAAGTGGCATACATTTGATCTTACCCACCTTTATAAAGCGGCAATGTAGTAATGACACTCATTTTGTGACAAAGTGTGTGAATAGGAACAGAGATTCCAGAGCATCACACTTCACTGAAGTCTTCCATCGCTCCAATGGACAACCTACGAAAACTTCCCAAATATGCTTTATGGATTATTTTGCCTTTGTGCCTCACCTTGAAAGGTAAGAAAGGATTTCAAATGTATTTGTTGATTTATTTAAAACCTTTATTCGTGCCTTTCTCCCTTGCAGAACTCAAGGTGGCTTAAAATATAAATAAAACATAAAAAACAAAAACCAGTAATTATAAGAACCCATAAAAAGTAATTATTTAATCACACCAATTATGACTGCCAATAAATAAAAACTAAGTCATATGCAGTCCTAAATAAGTCTTCAACTGCCTCCTGAGGATCGACAGCGAGGGGGCCAGCTGCACCTACCTAGTGAGGTTCAGAGGTCATTTCGGGGGGGATCGCGGGGGATCACAGTTCCCCCGGGTGAGGTGCGAGGGGGCGGGGCACACGACGAAGCCCCGTCCCTTGCTTCCGGCCGCCCCGCTTCCGGCCCTCATTCAGCCAGGAGGAGGCAGGAGAAGAGGGAGGGTAAGTTGCTTCCTCCCCGCCTCTCCCCACCCCTGCCTGCCTGGGGCCAGGGAGGGCCTTCGCGGGGCTTCCTCGCACTCCCGCCGGCCTTGCAGGTCCACCGCCGGGCTCCTGATGTCAGGGGGTGTGGCATATGCTAATGAGTTATGCTAATGAGTTCCCCTAGCTCCTTTTCTACGAAATGACCCCTGGTGAGGTTGGTCCATAATTGTGGGGCTGCCACTGAAAAGGCTCTCTCTTGTGTACTTGTCAGATGAGCTTCTTTGATTGGTGGAACAGCCAGAAGGGACTCTCCCTGCGATCTTAATTCCTGGGCAGGAACGTATGGGAAAAGAAAGTCCTTCAGATACCCCTGTCCCTAGGAATTCTCCCAAACTCTATAGTTTTTACTATAGAGTTTGAGGGGAGTCCTAGAGCATTACTTCTACCAATCCATTGTGCGAGGACAGGGGCTGGGGTGGTGGGATGTGGCAGACAGCCAGGAAGGCCTACGTTTAAGTGAATTTCCTGCATTGTACAAGGGGTTGGACTAGATGACCCTGGAGGTCTCTTCCAGCTCTATGATTCTAAGTGAATTGATCCTCGGGCTCTAGCTGTACATTGCTATAGCAGACCTTGTTTTCATTTTTCTCCCATCCAAATTTATTGCATTGTTTATTTGATGTCCCATCCTGTTGACTGTATTGATTTACACTGTGTAATTCACCTTGAGTCTCAGTGAGAAAGGCAGACTATAAATAATGTAAATAAATAAAAAAGAATAAATTTAGCAGTTGCTGTAAACTACAGGAATGGAAGAACTGCCTCTGGGGAGAGGGGGACAGGAAACAGGGAGATTTGGCCCTGGCCTAGGTTGATTTACCAAGATATGCTGTAGTTATTTTTCCTGTTTTAAGATCTATAATAAACAGGGGTCATTTCGTAGAAAAAGAGGTGCAGGAGCTCATTAGCATAACTCATTAGGTTAACTTATTTGCATATGCCACACCCCCTGATGTCACCGGAAGTGTGTCAGAAGGCAACACCCACCGCTTAGGCTCCACTGGACTGTTTTGGATTGCTAGCTTTTTTGGGGGGGGGGACGTGCAGATCTGTCGTCACAGAGGAGGGAGAGCTTGTACCTGAACAAAACTTGGTCTTAAAGGTGCCACTGGACTGTTTTGGGCTGGGGGGCTCTGCAACTTACCTGACTGCTTCTTGCTCTGACTGAGGGCTGCTGGGAGCAGGGGGTGGGGCTTGTTGCATGTGCCCGCCCCCTGGGCTCCTTACTGCCGGAGCTCTGCTCCTGTGCGCTCCTGCAGGAATAAACTTAATACCTACATGCTTGATATAACAGTTGGCCACTGTGAGAAACAATGCTGGACTAGATGCACCACTGACCTGATCAAGCAGGGGTCTTCTTATGTCCTTATTACAAAGATGATTGCATGTGAGTACATGAGCATAATGTCACATACACAAGATCACATTCTTTCTCTTAATTAAGTATATCAGCCTAATTGTCACCACTAGTGAGGCCAGGCCTCCACCTGGCGGCCCAGAGGGAATATGGAGGAGGGATAGGTCCGCCATTTTGATGCTGGTGTACAACGTCAAATCTGGTAGAATCCAGAAGTGATGTCATGATGTCAGGAGTGACACTTTAGGATTCGCCAAAATTCTATGGTTTCCAGTACCCCAAATTTCCCCCACTGGTCTTTGAGGCACCAGTGGGCAATGGAGGGGACACATAGCAGGAGACCTGGTAAGCCTAGTCGCCACTTAGTTCTGCACTAATAACACACAGTGCAGATCATGATGGGGAAAGTTTACCCTTCCACTACCACTCCAATAGTTTTATCCTCCCCCGCCCCCCGCCTCACTGAGCATGTATGCATGATTGGTATGGATGGGATAGCATTGAGTGAAGCTGCACCGGCACAACAGCTGCCAGGAACAGAAGATCATCAAACCAAGCTACAATATTGAAAACAATAAAGACTAAGGTTGCTTCCACAGGCAGATTTTTCTCTGTATGGAAAGCAGATATCCCCTATGTTAAAGGGGGCATCAGGTCTCCTTCTATAGGAGGAGACCTGTTGGCTTGGACCTCCATCATTCTCCACCACCATTTGACAGGCTGACAGGGAGAAATGGGGGGGGGGCTGTTTAGCACCATGCCAAGATGTGACAGCACTTCCTGCACAAAAATGGAAATGACATCGTCTGAACATTCTGAACATGACTTCTGGTGTCTTTGGGGGTTTTCCCTTTCAACCAGGTTAAAAATAAACCTGTTTTAATTTGGCCGAGTGGCTGTGGAGGAGTGTTCATGGTGGAGGTATATCAGGAGTTAAGCTTCCCTTTCAAAATACCACAGGGCAGCTCACTTCTCTGCACTTTCCTCTTCTTTTAGTCCTTTAAAGGGCCATTCCCCCTTCTCTACTAAACCATGCTGTAGTGCTATACCACACCTTGGCCCCGTTCATACGAGCCCATTTGGGCCGGGAGCGGGACGGAACGGGAGCGGAGCAAACCGGCACGATCCCACCTCAACATCTGGGGAGCGTGCCGGATCCGTCCCGCTTCCGTCCCTTCCAGCATTGCTCCACGGCAAAAAAGAACCACCTCCCGAGGTGGTTCTTTCCGAAGGGCCGCAGCAACGCTGGCCGTGGGATCGCCGGCGCGTCCTTGCGCCGGCGCATCCCCGGCTCCTGGCCGAACTGCGCATGTGTGAGCATGCGCAGTTCGCCAGGCTCCCCTTCCCACCGCCGCGTTCTCCCCGGCATCTGATCGTGCCGGGGAGCGTTGCGACGCGGCTCGGGGGGTCTGTGAGATCCCGCCGCGCCGTCCCAACTTTGCCGCGGCTCACTTTAGCCGCGGTACTAGCACCTAATTCCCTGCCGTGTGGCAGGGACCCTTGTTAAGCATCCACACCTTGTTACCACATCTTAAGCTATACCACACCTTGTTAAGCTTCCCTTTCAAAATAGCACAGGGCAGCTCACTTCTGTGCACTTTCCCCTTCTTTTAGTCCTTTAAAGGGCCATTCCCCATTCTCTACTAAACCATGCTGTAGTGCTATACCACACCTTGTCAGGGAAAGTTAGGGGAAAGGCATTCTGGGCCATGTGGGGGCCTGATATAGAGCTGCCCATGACCTGACAACTGGTGGGGCTGGGGAGTTGGGAATTTGCATGGGGGTTCCATCAGAAACCCTCCAGTACAATGACATCACTTCTGGTATGACTCAGAAATGACGTTATCTCCCCAGGGTGATGGTCTAGCATTGGCCCCCAAACCCAGAGTTTGGGACAAACACAAGAGAGTCATCAGGAGTGACGACATAACTTCCAGGTCATATAGGAAGCAATGTCATCATGGCAGGGATGCTGATAGAGCCCTCTAGGGTTGCCAGGTCCCTACCTCTTTCCAGCAGGGGGGAGGATGGGAGAGAAGTGTGCACTTCTCTGATACCATAGAGTTTTCAGGCCAAATGCTAGAGCATCCCCCCCCCGGCAACATGTCCAGTGCAATGATGTCACCTCTGGGTGATGTCATTGTGCCGAGCATGTCAGCCTGATCCAGGCACTTTGGGGGCAGGGTTCTCCCCACCAACCGGATCCAGGCCGGTGGGTCAGGGGGGCCTAGAGTGGGCAAATCCCCACCTCCCTGGGGGATCTGGCAGCCCTAACCCCCTCCCATTTCACCCTGAATTCCCTCCCCCCAGCTGAGCAGTGGCAGGCAACAGGAGCTGAGGGACAGGACATCTCCGACTCTTGGTGTGCAGCTGGCACTGGCAACCCTCGCTTGATGAAACTGCTGTTGCATCTAGGCTTTTGCACAGATGCGACAAGAAAAAGGGGAGGAGCAGAAATGGGGCAACAGCACTAGGGAGTGGCATGGGAATAGTCAGGCATGAGTGCTGTTCCCAGTCACTCCTGTGCTATTAGCTGCCGCCGCCACCACCACCATGTTGGGATGCACTTTCAGGACCCCAAGAGGACAGAGTCTAACTGCAAAGGTCTGTATTAACCATGTTTCTAGGATCATTAGTCCTCTCACTTTGTTTTCAGGAATGTTTAACCCTCTAAGAATGAATGTAACACTAAACAAACAAAGATTAAGACGAGATGCCATTTCAAAAAGAAAGCAGAAAATCTCACAGGAAAGTTTTCACAATACTTGAAACTCGATATGTTTCAGAAGAGAACAAGGTTGGCTCTCCCACATTAGGGAGTGTGCAGCACTCAGGGTTCAGGTATGGGCAGGGCCGTGTGTGCGCACACTGTGGTATTGCTGGACTGCAGGAAAAAGGCACAATGCAGTATTGACCATAGAAATCATCTATCACTTTGGGAAAGAAGTTCCTAGTATTTGTGGCTGGGAAGTAGGGCTGCCAGATCCTTCCCGGCCACCAGCAGGGGGTGGGGGTGGTTGTGGTTGTTTTGCCAGATCCAGGATGGTAAATTCCTGGAGATTTGGGGGTGGAGCCTGAGGAGGACAGGGACCTCAGTGGGGTACAGTCCCATAGATTCCACCCTCCAAAGCACCCATTTTCTCCAGAGGAACTGATCTCTGTACTCTGGAGAGGAACTGGAATTCTGGGGGATCCCCAGGTCTCACCTGGAGGCTGGCATCCCTACCGTGAAGAAAATGTGTGAGTAATCCCTGCTGAAATCTCAGGAGTCAGAAGGGTACTTGAAAAAAAGTCTCAAGTAGCATTCAAAATTCCTGCCCCATAGCAAACTCAGAAGAATGTAGGCAAAGTCGTGGAAATTACGGCAGAAACTACGAAAAGCAGCAGTCAATGCACACATTTGATTAACTTTCTTAATTTACGCAGGTTGCAGAATTTAGCTGTCTTAGCTTAGAATCTCGATTGCCTGAGCACAGAATCTTAGGAGCAGGTGTGACGGGTGGGGGTGGGGAGTTCCTTCCCATGTCATACATCCTGTCAAAGGAGAACTTCCCATGTTACAGCTAAGCAATAATGCTAAAAGCCAAAATGGGAGCACGGTTCAGTATTCTGAGCAATGAAGTACTCCTCAGGTCAACGATAAGCATTTACCCAGCATGCTGCCTGATTGTTCTGGGTTTTAATCTATCCTAGCTTTCTTCACTGTGGTGTCCTCCACATGGAAACAGGTTTGGGTGGCTGCAGCTGCCAATATAGCACAGTGGCAATGGAGCTCCTACATAGATTTCCCCACATTTTCACTGCCCCAGACCCCCGACAGAGGCCATTTCCCCCCTCCCCATACCACTTTTCATTTATATCCCCCAAGCCAAAAGGGGATAGAAACTGACCAAAAAAAGAAAGAAAGTTTGGAATTCTGCAAACCTGGTAGACCTTCTGTTAAACATTATACAATATAACAATATTCAACTATCATTTTTTAAAAAATTTTTTTCTGGTGACAGGAAGGGAAATGGCTGCTATAGCGACTGGGGCAGGGGAAATAGTAGCCATGTAGGGGGACTGATAACATCTTAACTGTCCTGCCCATACAGCAGTCACCCAGGCTTTGTGGTGATGCTTCCCAAAAGTTCATAGTAAAGCACAGATGGGAAATATCAGAGGAAAGCCAGACAAACCCCAGGAGATGAATGAATGCAACACAATGCTGTGGGAAGCAGGAGGGGGAAAAAAAACTGCTGTCAAACGGCAATGAACCTGGAACATATTACATGTGTGGAAAAGTTCACCAGCAAAGCAGATGCTAAAAGGAAGGATATCTATCTACACATAGAAATTCAGGGCAAGGTAAAGACAGTTACACTTTCTAAATATTTTCCTATATTTTCTTTGTATTTGGCAGGAACCACTCCTGTGTTAGGTTCCAGTACCCCTGCTGCGCCTCTGTCGAGTGCTCTAGCAGCAACTTCCAGTGCTCCTTCTGCCTCTACTACAGTTGGCTCCACTATTGCACCAGGCTCAAGCACTGCTGTTCCTGGGTCAAGTACGCCTGCATCAAACCCCAGTGGTCCTTCTGCCTCTACCACAGCTGGCTCCACTATTGCACCAGGCTCAAGGACTGCTGTTCCTGGGTCTAGTACGCCTGCATCAAACCCCAGTGGTCCTTCTGCCTCTACCACAGCTGGCTCCACTATTGCACCAGGCTCAACCACTGCTGTTCCTGGGTCTAGTATGCCTGCATCAAACCCCAGTGGTCCTTCTGCCTCTACCACAGCTGGCTCCACTATTGCACCAAGCTCAAACACTGCTGTTCCTGGGTCTAGTATGCCTGCATCAAACCCCAGTGGTCCTTCTGCCTCTACCACAGCTGGCTCCAGTTTTGCACCAAGCTCAAGCACTGCTGTTCCTGGGTCAAGTACGCCTGCGGCAAACCCCAGTGGTCCTTCTGCCTCTACCACAGCTGGCTCCACTATTGCACCAGGCTCAACCACTGCTGTTCCTGGGTCTAGTACGCCTGCATCAAAACCCAGTGGTCCTTCTGCCTCTACCACAGCTGGCTCCACTATTGCAACAAGCTCAAGCACTGCTGTTCCTGGGTCAACTACGCCTGCGGCAAACCCCAGTGGTCCTTCTGCCTCTACCACAGCTGACTCCACTTTTGCACCAGGATCAAGCGCTGCTTTTCCTGGGTCAAGTATGCCTGTGACAAACTCCAGTGGTCCTTCTGCCTCTACCACTGCTGGCTCCACTATTGCACCAGGCTCAAGGACTGCTGTTCCTGGGTCTAGTACGCCTGCAGCAAACCCCAGTGGTCCTTCTGCCTCTAACACAGCTGGCTCCACTATTGCAACAAGCTCAAGCACTGCTGTTCCTGGGTCAACTACGCCTGCGGCAAACCCCAGTGGTCCTTCTGCCTCTACCACAGCTGACTCCACTTTTGCACCAGGATCAAGCGCTGCTTTTCCTGGGTCAAGTATGCCTGCGGCAAACCCCAGTGGTCCTTCTGCCTCTACAACAGCTGGCTCCACTATTGCACCAGGATCAAGCACTGCTGTTCCTGGGTCTAGTATGCCTGTGGCAAACTCCAGTGTTCCTTCTGCCTCTACTACAGCAGGGTCCACTATCACCACTAACTCAACACCCAGTACAGGTGTGTTTACTTTAGAAGACGTCACCTAAAATCCTCATGTAATAGTTTCAACAGCATTTTTTGCAGATAGAAAATTACTATTTCAGAGAGAAAGCTTTAGCCCCATCTTCTCTTGGACATGTTATTCCCCTACATGCAGGCATTTTAAAAAATAGGTGCTTATTCTTCTTCTTTTTTTGGTAAACAAAGTTTTTATTTTCATAGGAATTCGACATTTGACATTCAATCATTTACACTTTTCCATTGTTTACCCCATTCCTGTTTCCTCCCTTCCCCTCTGTGGCTTCCCGCAATGCTTCCCCCCCAACTCCACCTTGCTATACTTCACCCATTATATCATTTTCTTATTGTTACAATCTCAAGATAACATCATTTGACTTAATATTGATCTAAACATATTAAATTTTGTTTCACATCCCAGTTCTTTTCCAGATATATTTTAAAGTCACTCCATTCTTCAAAAAACACGTCTTCTTCTTTGTTATTCAACTTTTTTGTAATTTTATCCATTTCAGCCATGAACAGAACTTTTTGTATTCAGTCTCCAATCTCTGGTACTTTCTCTGTTTTCCAGCATTGTGCATAAATCATTCTCGCTGTTGTTATTAAGTACCAGAGTAAAGTCTTTTTAGTCGTATTGACTTCTTCCATTTTAAGTCCCAAAAGCAGAATTTCCGGTGCTTTTTTGAAAGAGCATTTCAGTATTTTTTGCATTTCAATGTGGACTTTTGTCCAAAAGTCTACAGCTTTCTCACAAGTCCACCACATATGGTAAAATGAGCCCTCATGGTTCTTACATTTCCAACATTTATTTGACATATTCTGGTTCATATTTGCAATTTTCTTTGGAGTCATGTACCATCTATACATCATTTTATAACTTCTCTCTAACATTGGTACATGTCGATATCTTAATGGAATTTTTCCACAAATACTCCCAGGTTTCCATAGACACTTCCTTGTTCATATTTATTGCCCATTTTATCATTTGCTCTTTCACAGTTTCATCTTCCGTATACCATTTTAACAACACTTTGTACATTTGAGAGATATTTGTTCCCCCTCCACTCTCCCAAACATTTTCCATTTCATTTTTTTCCTCTCTAAAACCATAATTTTTCTTATCTAATCTAAAAAGATCATGAATTTGCATATATTTCAGCCACTCGTATTCATATTGTATTTCATTCTGCTTTTTCAATACCCAT